CTCGGTTGATGCGCCTGCCGCCCGTGCCTGTTGAGACTGCGGGCCACGGGCGGCCTCTTCCTCGCTGCTCTCCTCCTAAATGCGAATAATTCGCCGCTGGAGTTGGCGTCGCCCTCTGCTGCGGGGGGTGGTGATGGAGTTTGGGAGAGGCCGCGCGTAGACCTTGCCGCGGGCGGCGGTTTGGCCACCACGCGCGTCTTCGCTCGCTGTGCCTCTTGCATCGCGGGCCGCGCTGTGGTTGGCTGGCCGCGCGGTCGACCGCGATGCACTGGACACTGCGGGCCGCGCTGTGGTTGGCTGGCCGCGCGGTCGACCGCGATGCACTGGACACTGCGGGCCGCGCTGTGGTTGGCTGGCCGCGCGGTCGACCGCGATGCACTGGACACCGCGGGCGCCGCGCTGGTAGTGGTGGCCATACGGATGGGCGTGTCTATTTTATCTACCGACAACACTCAACACTTACTTGTTGAAGCGGCGGTCGTCGTCCTCGTCCTTCTTGCGGCGACTCCTCCTCCGGACGTTGGTGATAGGCGGGGCGCGGCTTTCCTTGCGGCGGTCGATCCGCGAGCACCGCTGGCGACCGGCGACGATTCTTTCGTCGCCGTTGTGCCCGCGGTCACGGCCGTGTATGAGGGGGACGTCCTGCTGACCGGCGGTGTTGGCACTGTAGATGGCGATGGGGTGGCGGTGGAGTGCAACCTGGGTGGCCACGGATCAGTGGCCCTGCATCAGCGCCGCATCAGTCCGTCGGCCGCCGCCGTCGATCGCGCAGTCGCGCTCGCCGCGCCAATTTTACGCGTCACACTGTCACTATCTAGTGTCACTACATCGGTTCCGCGAGTGCTCGGACCCGGAGCGTCCATCCGCGGAGACTGGGCGTGCTCGGCCCCGTAATGCGCTTTTACCGTCCTCTGCGGGTATCTTCCCGCGCCCCTGAGGCCGTACATGCCACACGCGTGCCATATTGTGTCTCCGGGGTGGCATTTTCGCTAATGTTTCAATAAATGCTCCGGGTCACAATACTTCTCCTTTATCCGCGACGGTGCTAACTCGCTTAGCCAGCACCGGGGGCATCTAATGGTCGCGGGGAGCGGGTAATTGATAAGGACTTCTCGTGGACTCGACATACTTGTTCGTAGGCGGCCCCGACAAAATTAAATTAAATAAAAGTAAGTATTGAATTTACTAGGGACCGCTAACATCATCGAGAAGTCTATAGTTCGTTAATGGCACTCGCGGATACCGACACTACCACTGTGCACACGCGAACTAACACGAAGTTGTGATGCGGTAAACAAAAACGCGGAATCGCTTCTCGGCCAATCGCGCACACGCACACTTGACTTATAAACTAGACCTAACTAATTTCCCGAGCTAAGACTGTCCGGCTGGAGTGTTCAAATTTTAATGGAAATTCGCCCGCGAGTTCAAAATTTAATAATTAATTTTACTTCCGCGTGGTTTGCCCACGCGGAATATGTAAAAACTTTAAGCCCCTCGCGCCGTTTGTAAAAATTACTAGAAAGTAACTAGTTAACTAATATGGCGCGAGGGTGTTCAAAATTATGATATTATAGCTCGCGGGCCTCTAAATAGTAATAATAGATCGTCCCCACGCCGGATTTCACCGCCCGCCTTTATCACTATGTAACACGAGAACGTGGCTTAAGGCAGGCGGCGCCACGTGCGGCTAAAACTCGCACTGCGTGCTGCCACTCTATCGCGCCGCGCAATTCGTGACGTAACAAGTAAATACGCGCGCGAGTGACAGCGGTGCAGTGCGAGTGCAGTGATTATTGTTAAATTAGTTAATAACGGCCGACCAGTATCATGGATAATCGACCGGCCGTATACACACGAAGAAGCGATAATTAAATGCCGCACGTGAAGTGTAGGCCCAATACTGATCGTCTCCGTGCGCTGCAGGATGCACCCTCCGCACGCTACGTGCACTATTTATTATAATAATAATTGATTAGTTAATAGGCAGCCGCTCCGTCCAGCTAAGTATTCTAATTGCTTTAATATTGATAATCAGTCTTATATATATGCAATCTCACTGCGACACTGCTTGCAGGTTATGCACACCGATTAATATATGTGCATCCAGCCACTGCACCGTCAGATGAATAACCCGGTCTAAGACTTGAAAAAAGTAATTAATACTAATATGTCAGGTTGGCTTAAAAAGATCGGTAAAGTTAAAAGTTGTTATAATGAACCCTTTAAATTGTCCGTTGGTTTGCGTCATATTAAAAATTTTCATTGCAGATGTCATGCAGATAAAATAATAAATATATAAATAAAATAAATAAATAAATCAATAAATAAATAAATAGATAAATAGGCCGACAACACAACGATGGAACGACCAGCAGATGGACAATGAGACGAGTATACCGAGAATTAATGCCAGGAAATTACATTAGCTATTGCATCGATGAGAACTGCGCTGTGTGTGTGTATATATATATATATGTATACAGAGTGTTATTTATTGGATTGTTAAAATAGATTGTATATAGTTAGGTTAAGAATTTTAAATACTAGTAAATAGATTCAAAAATATATAACTCTAGCAAAACTCTCGCCACATCCAAGACCACACTTGACACCTAACCTATCACTTAGTTTGACACTTCATATACTAGAGTTTTATATATACATGAAATAAATAGTAATTTTGACTTTTATTATGCCGTTTAACTAGAGGCAACAGGTATAGTGATGCCTGCCAATTATGCAATTTACATGTATATTTTAGTGTATATAGTCATATCATGTAAAATTCTTTCTCGACAGCTGTCACAGTGAGATGCTGGACAATACAATGCGATACCCCTGGAACAAAGCAATGTGGAGCGACTGCAGCAGCCTATTCTACGCGCAAAGAGGAATGCAAACGCCTGCAGCACCTGTTATATGGGCCTATGCATATATGGCAGTACTGGTTATTGACTTACTCTACGCAGCCAAAATGAGGTGCTCACTGTGTAATATATAATATGCAAAATGGATTTATGGTTAGACAGTTAAATTAAGAACAGTGAATTGAAG